TTCCTTTTTTTCATTCGTGAAGAGCTTTACTTCTTTTATAACGAGATGGAAATAAACAAAAAAAAAAAAAAAGAAGTACTGAAAGCTTGAGGGCTTTCAAAAAAATCTTAAAGTTTGAAATAAGAAAACATTTTATAAAATTTTTTCCTTATTTAAAAACTAATAAGAAAGGAAAGGAAGGGGAGTCGCTAGCTTCCTTCACAGAATAATCTCTTTTAATTTTTTTTTTTTTTTGGGTTTTCCTTTTTTAAATCTTAACTTCTTTCCTTTTTACAATTTCACAAAAGATTGACTTGAAAAGGTATGCACACATGCAAAGTCATTGATCAAAAACTATCGGGAATAATAAAAGTAATCTTAAATGTAAAAAATTTATTTTACCAAAAGATTCGTTCTGAAATGACAGAATAGATCGGTGTATCAAGTAAGTCAAAAAATCCAATTTTTTGCAATCTCTTGGTTAAAAGCGAAAATGAATGAATACACATTAGACGGATAAATAAACAATGAATATGGAACCTTAATGGATCTGTATGATAAAAGTGAGTTCATCTTAAGCCTTCTTGATGATTATATAGATCCGCACAAGGTTTACACTCTACCAGTTGTGTGGAGTAAGAAAAGGGCAATCAATCTTTCATAGTCTAATGGATAAGTTCCCGGTACTTTTGGATTATATTATATGTTGAAATTAAATCTAATTCTGTTAATGGCTCATATAATTTGTTTTAACTATTCAGTTTATCATGTGATTTTTTTATTCGAATTTCAATTCATTTCACTTTACAGCAGACATAATATATATTTATGTGAATTTTCAAACATGGCGTCCATTAATTGTGCCCACGTTTTATCTGCACTTTGCATTAGGGTTACGTTTTGTATTTGCGTTCACATTTTATTTCTTCTTCTTCTTTTTTTTCCCAATTCTTCGAAGACTTCAAATTTTTCCCCATATATTTTCCTAATTAAATTTCTTTTCTCTCTCATACTATTTTTATCATTTTATTTATCTTTTGTTTACCTTAGGAGTCCTGCATTGAATTCGAAAGACTGGTTACCGCTCAATGCGAAGCTCTTATCCAAGCCATACACGATAGACGTGAATATTTACTTGAAGCTATACGCATGGATAAGGATACAAAAATACGAATATTGAAGGTAAGCACATATACATACATACATACATATATTTTATATTTTTGTAGTAATTGCTTTGTAATGGAAAAACATTCATTTAATATCCTGTGCATGTATGCTTCCGTTTGCCCATGTAATTGTGTGTTTATTACACAGGATCAACAATCAAACTGCACTGGCAAACTACAACAGACCACGGGCTTAATACAATTTTGCATTGAGGCTTTGAAAGAGACTGACAGTGCCGCGTTTTTACAGGTAAGTTTCGGAATGCAAGGATTACTTAATTAATTAAAGTAAATAAAATAAATAAATAAATAAAAAAAAATTGAAAAATATTCGCTTCGGGGCGCATCATTTAAGGTAAATATATGCGAACATTACTCAAGTTTTTATTAATTGTGATGGCGACAGTGGAACAAACCAAAAAAATGTTACGCAAAGTATTCGCATAAATGAAATCTAAGGCCCTTTAAGTCTACTACACTACTTGGCCATTTTTAATTCAAGTAAAATATTATGTATATATGTGTGCGTGTGCGTATTTATTTGTTTATATATACATATTTCTTCTGAATAAATAAAATTACTTGATTGATAAGGCGTTTCCGCTCTTGAGCCCACGTGGGCCCACGTTCCATTCTTAGTCAAATATCTTAAAAATTTGCAGGATTATGAATTACAACAATAAAGGGAAATAAGTTCACTAAGCATTCCGTGACGATCAAGGGAACATGATTATTTTTGGCATAACTAGATGATAGACGGAATTATATTCTCTTTTGAAGCTAAGAATTAATCATTTCTACGAGAATAATAAGTGTTCCGGTAACTAGACTGGAACGAGAGCTCCTCGAAATACCAATACCAAATTTTCAGTTAATATCTGTGGTTTATTTTTCTTGTGAATATTACTATTTTCATTAAACTAATCATTAAACCAATTCATCCAATGGTGCGTGTAACTATCTTGGTCCTAGATAGTGTGAAATTAGTGACCTCAAGAAGTGGAATTACATGATATTAAATAAAGAGAAATAGTTTAGAATATGATAGTCAGGCGATCAGGACTATTACATATCTCACATCACTTTATGTAATACAACTTTTTGTCATAATATAGATCAATGCGGAATTACTACTATTCTGGGCCAATTTTCATCATAACATACAAAAAATTGGACCCTTTTATCATATCAAGACTTTCTTAGTCTTTATAAGAACGAAAGTTCAAAGAATGATTTCATGCCGTTCAAAATCCTCCTTCTTCGTTCAGTACGCCCAACACATTAGTTTATTATTTAACGTGTTTCTGTCGCTCTCTATATAGAATTCGAAGTGTAAATGCAGTTTTTGCAGAATTGAATCAATTCTATATAGAATTGCTTGAGGTTCCTATAGCTGTGAAAATAATGCCAAGTGTTTGCTTTTCAGATAAAAAACAATAACAAAAGAAAGGGAAGAAGAAAGAAAGGAGAAAAGAAAGAGGCAGAGAAAGATTTTTCGTACCAAAAAAAATACTTTGGTGAAAAAAAAATAGTAAATACCTATGTAGGGAACTCACTCAGTAAGTTTAATTTTTGCACTGTACAGCATTTGTGGTACAAAAGCCCACCAAAATTCAGTAAATGAATACAACATTCAGTACGAATTGAGATAAGCCCGTCTTTTATTGTGTCGAACGTTTCAGTGTCACTTTCTAAATCGATTTAAAGTTGCCTGTCTGTCTGTCTGTCTGTCTTGTTCTCTTGTGTTTAACCTAAAGGCTACAATTTTTTAGATATTTATAATTTGTTACACTGACGTGTTTTGTTGCAATCACTAACGCTGTTGAAAATGGTGGTCAAAATGGATGGAATCGCATCACTGTTTTGATGACTTTTCATGTATCGTCATTATATAAACAACGGCAGGGTGGTGTATTGCATTTAACAATGCAATATACGCTATAGTGTTTCTATTTGTTTTTTTATTGTGAAAATCAAGATTTTCTTTACATTACTTACCTTATTTCAGTAAAAGTAATTAAGCTATTGTTGTTTTGAATTCATATGTTTTGCCAGAGTAAAGCCAATGCTAATTCTACGGATAGAATTGCAGTCCTTCTGTCGAGCATTTTATCCGAATTCTATATAGAATGCGACGAAATCACCACTAGTATGTAAACACTAAATAATGCCAATTTTTAGCTAGCGGCCATAACAAATGTCCGTTTCAATTTCCTTTCAACACGCCTCGCCATTGGTCCAAAAAATGTTAGCGAATCTAATTCCATTGAAACATATTCCATAATTGTAATTGAACACAAATGTGCATGAACATACATCGGACGGACATACGGACAGATGGACAGATAGATATAAATCGCTACAGAATCGTTCGATATAATGTAAATAAGGTCCTTTCTAAGTCCTTCGGGTTGTTGCATGTGGGTGCGCAATCTTTATATATCCTGTAGCAAAAACAGCGTAAATCATGAAATCCTGCTCATATAAAGATATGGGAAATATTTAAATTAACTTATGGGTTATGCAATGACAACTTCGGCTATAATCCGTAAACTTGCGAGAGTTCAGAACAAATGCATCTAGATACACATATGATCTAAGTCCAAGCAGCAAATGATATTAGATTAGTCAGCTGGAAAGAAAGTTTCATTTTGTAGCTTTTTTCATTGGAGAGGACACGACTCTTGTCACAACGGAATTACCATATTGGTGATGAAATGCTAAAAAAGGGTCACTCAACATATATTTCATAATTTTCTTTCACATTTGATTCCAATTGATGTTTAATATTTTTTTTATTGTAGAGATGATGCAATCATATATCTGATTGATTAGTTCTAGATAGTGGTTGAAGAATTTAAAAAATTTCTTATTGTCATCTAATCGATCTACTTGACATCAAATGAACATTTATTGTTATTTTCTTAGGTTGGTTCGATGTTGATAAACCGGGTGGCAAACACTGATATGACTTGGCATCAGGAAGTGACTAACGCTGCACCGCGAGTGTCACCCATCGTTGACTTGACATTAGACGATGCATCCGTCTTGAGAGCTATAGATAATTTAAATTTTATACAAATGAAACGTAAGTTAAAACCCATTTATATATATATTCGTATTTAGAAAAAGCAGAGCAGATGGAGGCAGAAGAAAAGTCCATTTAACTATATTAACGTAGTCACTGCAATTAGTAGAATAGAAAGGCTGCTTTGCCTGATTGATTTTATTAGCATTTCTCCAGTAGGTAATATAAGAAAGACATATAATAGTGGAGCACATTTATGTATGTATAAGGCTTAAGGTGTTTACTTCTTTTTGCTTTTCTAAATTATTTTAAAATAATTGCCCGGACTCACTGTGTCTGCACATACTTGCTATTGCACGGCATATATAGTAAGTGTTTAAATTTATGTGTAGTCATTAAATAGTAATTTCTTCGCCTTTATAAGCAAACAGAAAGCATCACTTTGTGGAACATTAAAGAAACGTTTGCTTGAAAGAAGAAATTACTTTACACCTATAAATTTTTATTGTAGTGCATACATGCTTTCGTGTTCAGACAACAAGAGCAACAAGAGCTTACTTAGCACCACCACAGACAGCTGTGACACTACAAATTACTAAAAAAAAAAAAAAAAAAAACAACCACTCAGCACCCTTTTAAGAAATATTGTGAAATTTAATACTTTTTATGTTCACACAGCCAGTCAGTATAACCATTTACAATACATTAACTCAGTGCTAAACGGAAGATTTATGTGTTTAAGATTTATTTATATTTAAGAGCTAAGCCTTCCCTTTCATAGGCACATTTTATTTGTATTTATAAATTTGTAAGTAAAAAAAAAAAAAAAAAAATTCAAATAAAAAAAAAAAAAACTAATTTCTATTATTGTAATTTTTTTTCAATTTTTATCTTTTTCTCTTTCACACACATGCTGCTCTTGCTGCTAATATGAAAAAAAAAAAAAAAAAAAATTAAAAATAATGTATTGCTAAAAATCGTACAAAATCCTTTCTCATATCATTATATACATATTCATGTAACTTGTACATGTGTTTGTAAACGTTATTCTTATATTATCATAAAATCAATGCTTATATCAACTACGCATGTATATGACTTTACATGCAGCTGTCAAAGATGGAGATGAAAGATTACCAGCAGGTGAGATGCTTATGCTTGATGATAACATCACCAACAACACCTTTACAACCTCAATATTATCCACCAACACAGTGATTAATACATTTGATTTGTCCATGAACTCTTCTGATATGAAAACCTCAACATTACGTTCCAACAAATCCAATAAATCAACGACATCCTCATTGTTATCCCAGAAAATGAATGCATTTAAAAGATTAATCAACTATGACGAAACTCTCTCATGTATGCATTAAATATTTTTCTTTTTTTAATTTTTCTTTTTTTTTTTTTTTTGGTTTTTTTTTTTTCTTTTGTATTAATATTTAATTGAATTTCTTTGTTTTTCATATATATATATATAGTTAGTATCTTTCATTACGTTTTCATTTTGTTTTAAATTATATTTAAGCTTATGGTAATGGTTCCTTTTAGTCTCTTTTCTTTTGCGTTGTGAAATTGTTAACGCTTTAAAAGCAAGTTTAATGCTAATAATATCAATACATTGCTTATTATTTTTGCCGAACTTTTGGAACATGGTTAGTTTGCTTCTCATAATCCGAATCTTAACGCTTTACCGTATCACTCCCTCTCTGAGATCCTAGCGAATAATATTTTGCCAGCTTTTATTCTTGCCATGATCGATGGAGAGAATCGGAAGATTGGAGAAAAAATTTTTTTTTTTTATAATTGCGATGGATAAGTGTGAAGGTAATTCTGCAGGAGAGAGGACCTATTCCACAACTGATGTACCAGAAATTAAAGTTTGGGTATGGTCCAAGCCTTCCTCTCTGGGCAGGTCGAAACCTACCAAGCATCTTCACTTATTTAATGCCCCCGCATTTGGGAATACCACAGCCACCACCGGTACTCCTCAAAGGGTTGGGCCTTACACACTGTTCCGTTCAAAGTGTGCTTGAATATACCAGCTTTCACTGAAGTTTCTTACGTGGCAAGTTTTCCCCCGAACGATCCGGCAAGCACCAATGGACAGTTGTAGCCGGTGCAACCATCCTTACCCGCCCAAGTAGGTACAGATGGCATTGAGTAAGTGAGTCCGTGCTGTCCATAGTGTTGCTACGCAATGGTTCAAAATTATCGGCATTACGCGTGTCATTGTGTTCACATCTGCTTACGGATTATTATTACCTGCAGGGAATCCACCCTACTACTCGCTCCCTTGGATTACTTCTCCTTTTACAATAAGAAGTAATCAATGCAGCATACGCCAAACTTTATCATTCTATGCTCTCTTAAGCCTCTTCCATAACCGTAAAACTATATACTTTACCTCCTTTGTGATTGACCAAGCGGTGAAGAAATCTGCACGCAGACAACCCGCGACACTCTCGAAGAATTTCCAAGGAAAGGTACCCCGTCGACACCGTTGTAATATTTCCTGCCCCGGTTACATATATTAGATTGGGGAAAAAAAAATTCATTATTTTTTCGGTAGATGGCTGCACTGATAGATTTCTCGTAAAGTATCGCTCAAACAATTTCAGATTTATGCTCGTTGGAAAGGTGACATTTCGCAGTAAAAAAATTCTTTTGCTATTTTTTGTTTGGTGCATTCAGTTGTGAGTTACAGCGTGTTAAAAATGGAAGTGTTCCACCAGGACAACGCTAGGCTACACATATCTACAGTGACTCGCCAGAAACTTCGGGAGCTTGGTTGGGAAGTTTTAATGCATCCGCCATACAGTCCGGACTTGGCACCAAGCGATTATCATCTTTTTCTTGCATTGCAAAATTTCTTTAATGATTAAAAATTGGAGTCTAGGGAGGATTGTGAAAATCGACTACTAGAGTTTTTTGCAAATAGAGACCAGGACTTTTATGAGAGAGGCATTTTCAAGTTACCTTTAAAATGGCAACAAATCATACAACAAAACGGTGCATATTTGACCCAAATCGGACAATCCGAAGCATGTTAAACAAAGTCCTGAAGTTCATATAAAAATAATGGATTTCTTTTTCCCCAAACTAATATATTCCAATGTACATTTAAGAATTTTTTCGCAAGCCAACTTGCAATTGCGTTGACCGGATTTCACATTACATCTTACTGTTGCATGTAATTTCTATGGTTTTATATACTATTAATTCCGAACAAGTTCGAAAGTCAAAAAACGTTTACCCCACTCTACAGAAAAGCAAGCGAAGTGACTAAAGGAAAAATGAATGTGCGTACGAGTATTTCACATAAAAATAGCTTTTGATCAATCATCATACTTATAGCTCATAAAGGATAGCATTTTGGTTCAGTCTTCCGTATAAAGTTCTCTGTTGCAAATTAGTAACACAATTCTCTCTGGCCAGGCAGAGAAAACATAAAAAAGTGTTCGAAATACTTTTGGAAGAATGGAAAGTGAAGTTGTATGAGACAGCTGACACACAGCTGAAGGCAATATATTTACTATTTTGCATGAACATTTGTCTATGAGCAAGCTGTGTTCAAAATGGGTGCCGCGGTTGTTCATACTTAACACAACAATGTCTTATTGATTGAAATAATAAGGACTTTTTCATGCGCGATTTCACTGCACTACCGACTTAGGTCTGCGTTCATCCAAGTAGACAACAACCGGTGAAAGCGGTCCTAAAAGGTACTGTCACCAAAAGACCTATAGTTTGCAAACTGATTTTCAGAATATTTAGAATATTTGACACGCCTTGTCTAAAGGTTGGTACTATCAAAAAACCATGGGTCTGTCAACAGTGTTGCCATGCCTACGTCAAACCACAGAGCTATTGAGCGATGTGATGATTATTAAAAATTCGATTCTTCCAATGTTAATACAAAAAGAGAAGAGAATTCCCAAATTTTCGAAACGCAGGCTGTACATAGCGAAACTTGCCAACGCTCTTATTAATCTGTTTTCGTTTTCTTTCTTTATCGCCTAGTAATCAGTAGTTTATGGAAATTAAAAGGAAAACGAAATATTTCTGTTGCTTGAGCTTTGCAACAGTGATACTAAGATAGACGTGATAATGACTCTCTCTCTCTCTCTCTCTCTCGTTTGGAAGAGAAAACCTTATCCCTTCACATCTTCACTTTCTCAGTTCTCCTTGTTTTTTATGGCTTATTCAACTTTGTATTTTTTAACACTTTCCGACAAACATTACCAACGAAAAGTTCGCTTATATGAGGGCTAAGGGTGAAATTATGTTTAATATAAACTGTTTTGTGTAAATATGTGCTTATTATAATTTATTTAAGCTATTATTATTATTATTATTATTATTGTACATATATGTCTGCACCTACTTCATAGTTCAAATTTGTAAGCTGTTGGGTGTGGTTTTTCGGTTATTCTTATCCATTAATTTTACTCGATTTTGTTTTTGTTTAACAAATTTTTTCACTTTGATTTGGGTGTGCACGTGCTGTCTCCTTCTTTCTCCCACATACTTTTACTTACTGTTTGGGTTTGTTATTATCATTATTTACATGTTTTCCTTTTTTTGAATTATTTTAGCTTAAATCGAGAATTATAATTTATTGTCTGTTATAAAATGAAAATCTCTCCCACTTATTACTTATTGCCTTTCAACGCGCTATGCTATAATTAAGGTGTAACTTTGCGGCCGAATAGAATCCATTCCCTTATTACTTTCCTGCCACTTGACTTTTTGAAATTGAAATTTTCTAAAATAAACCTTAGTCATATCCTAGTCATACTATTGTAATATACTTTTACGCTCTGACAACATGTTTTATTTTTCTGGTTTCTTTTTTTTTTTTTTTTTTTTTTTTGCATTTCTGTTGTTTTCATTTTTCTTGAAACGTTGATTATGTGGTTGCAGCCCCATTGCCACCAGCAATTATACCCGAAGATTGTTCAGCGGAAAATAATTCTGTAACGGTAGCGTGGCAGGCACCAAGTCATTCATTTGTCGAAGGTTATGTGCTAGAATTGGATGATGGCAGCGGTGGTGAATTTCGGGTAAAATAAAAATATTAAAAAAAAAAAAAATTCTCCTTTAAATTTAAAATTTTTTATATGAATTAATAAGAGAGAGTGTGTAAATTATGTGAAAATGTAATTTAATTCAATTTCTCTGAAATTTTATTTGATTCGCATTAAGCAGGAAGTGTACTGTGGTAAAGAAACTATATGCACTGTAGATGGGTTGCATTTTAACTCCATGTACAATGCTCGTGTCAAGGCCTTCAATAGCGCTGGCGAAGGTGAATACTCTGAACTAATTGGCTTACAAACGGCTGAAGGTAAGTTCAAAGCTCTCTTATTACAAAGCAAGCGGAAAAATTCAATATGTTTGCCTCTCTTTTTATTTATTTTGCGCTTTTTATTCCTCACAACTAAAGAGGATGGTGTATTAAATCGCTTGCTTTAATGGCAACCTTTAGAGATATATGCTAGGTATTAGATAAAATATGCGAAAATTTTCTTCATCTCTCAACTTGAGATTATTAAATCGTTTTAAACATTCCTACCATATTTACAGGATTTGTCTGTCCGTCCATCCTTTCATATATAGCAGTACATTCACTTTAAAGAAAAAGAGTTAAACTTCCAAAACCAGATTTAAATAAGGGGCGTCGTGTCTGCCAGAGCACTGTAAACAGAGCTTGATTTGAAAAATAGTTAAAACTGAGAGGAAGGCAAATAGAGAATTTTATAAGTAGCTAAGAGCATGTAGGACATATCCTCCCACACTTTAATGGAACATATATTTAATCTGATTTATGTAATTTATAGATGTCAAGTATTTAAAATGGCTTTTTACTTCTACACAAGCCTTATGAAAATCCATTTGCTGGCTGCGCATCACTAATTTCCAGCTAATCGACGATCAACTCCTAGAATCCGCACTCGTTAGATTTTTGACGTACGTCGTCAAGTCTTCCTGCGGTTTTGTTGCACAAACCATCCAAATATACAGAGCAAAGCCATGCAAGGCGCTCTCAGTTAATAAAATACTTCGAAGTTTCTCTAGAATGTATATGAGTGAGGTGACGAATAACCCATGATTCGTCCTAAATCGAATGCGATTTTATTTATTTATTTTTTTTTCTTTACTTGCAACGATACAAAAATTTGAAAGGTCTAGTTAGCCAGTCAGTTAACTTAGTTAACGTCTTTTATAATCACTGCAAAATGCCTATGGAACCGTAAGGCGGACGCCTTTTAGACAATTTTCACTTTTTTTTTCTTCCTTTTCTTGGTTTAATTTCCATTTCAGCCTTGTAATTGTGTTTGTTAACTATCGCACGCTTGATAAACGTTTGGCCATTTGCCCATTTTATTCATTGCCGTACTTTGCATAAACTCTGCGTCGTTCTTACCAAGAAATGCAAAGATAAAAAGAAAAAAGAAAGAAAAAACGAAAAGCTAACTAAAAAAGGCACCAAAGGATACTTTATCGTTGTCGTACTTTCATGCGTGAGTGTCAGTTGGAAAATTGTCTTTTAGCGTCGACAACTACTAGCACTTGTTATCAGCTGTAGTAGTAACAACAGCTTATCTTTGGTGTTCAGACTCGTTCCGTTAACAATGATTGATACCTTTTTCGCCTTTGACAATTTGTCGCCTTACAATCGTCTCTTCTCATGTTAACAAGCAAGCATACAGGCATACAAGCCTTGATACCGTGATCCTAAAAGGTTTCATTGTTGTCTATCGTTAGGCATGTTGATGATATTTAAGTAAATTTTAATTTAAATGAATTCCTGTTTAATTTATGAAACGGCCTTAAGGACTTCTCGTAATAGTCTAGTCGACGAATAGAGCTGTAACGTTTACAACGAGAAAATTGATTAGTTCTTTTAATTATTTAACTGAAAAAAATAGCTGAAGCATGCATAGCACCATCGTCGCAAAGCAAGTATGACTAAATGTAAAGCAATTGAGTTTTTATTTTTTTTATTTTTTTTTGTTTTACTAATAGAAACGTTGATGGTTTAATTTTCTTAAAAGGTTTTTAAATAACGTGTTCATGCATAAACGAAAAATGAAAGTGCACGGAAGTTAATGAATTCATTTTAAAATTTTACAAAAAAAAGATATTTTAAAAGAAATTAAGAAATTTCAAAAATAATCAAAAACTCCATCATTTTCATTAATCAGACAAAGTAAGTAACTATTACAATGCATTCAGTTTAGTCATTTGAAAGGCAGTTTTTCAATGTAAACCAAAGTCATTAAAAAAATTGGATATATTTTTATGTTTGATTGGATTCATAGGAGATCTCAACCGGAAGGTTTATTAAACTTATGCGTCAGTCGCTCTGTTTGATGTTTGCTTTTGGAGTGCTTATGGTCATTGGTATTGAAGTGGAATACCTGAAAATTGGCTTATATGTCTTTTGTTGCTTACGACGAACCAAATTAGTGAGCGGACGTTATTTGGCCGCGAGAAAAATAAGAGTTCAGTCCACACCAGCAAAAACAGTGACTGCATAATACCTGTTGATTGCAAGGACACTTTTAAATTTGATCGGGAAGTAGGTGAAATGTTCCCAGTTACTAGGATTTCTTGCAATTTTTGTGAATCAGTTCAAGATGATGGAAAACGATGGTTCAACCTAAGGCGAATTTAAGTTTCTTAACTTACTTATCTCAGTAAATTGGCACTTTCACCGAATGTGCTAAGGTAATCCAACTTCGCAAAATTCCCGTACTATCTAAAAATTGTCTTTATGTCACACGATCGCATTATAACAAAGTCTAACTGTAGAGCTGTCTTTCACGCCGTTCCTGATATTCTTATCCTTAAGTCGAGCTGTCAAAAACATTATATTCCCTTTCACTTCCACTTCGCGTCCTTCATCGTGCTTTTGCAAACGAAAGATATGCCTTGAGTGTTTGGGTATGTGAATAGAAATTAAACGAACTGTTCTTGATGTTTTTACTTTTAAGTCGAACCTGCAAAAACGTTACCTTTTCTTTCTTCTCTCTTTCACTTGCATTTCACTTCGACAATCGCCGCATTATAAGTGTAGGGAACGTCGCATGTATGATAGGATACGAAGGAAAGTGTAGAAATGCATAATCATCTGTGAAAACGAAGATTTTCAACTAGAACGTCTGACAAGTCAAAAAATTTCGGGTAGGTCTGTTGCATTCCATGGCCATTAATACTTTTGCAAGGAATTGCTTAGCAGAGCATTTTAATTGAATTTTGTTATATCGAATCAGAGATAAGTCGATATTCATCCACATCAAGAATTTAAAAGAAAAGAGAGCGCGATGGCGATGATGTATTCAATTATTCGGCCCAGAGAACCAATGCAACCCAAGCAAACGGTATCCGTGTGGCAGAAAATTTTAGAACAGAATTGTTACAGATACACAGCATCTATCTACCAGCTTAGCTACATTCCAACATGCGATAACTAACCGTCTTCCAGTGCATGTTCGACAATTCATTTTCCATAGTCTATCTGCGAATGCATCGAACTTTGTCAGTGCGGCTTTTACAAAAGGTTAATGGGATCGTTTAATAATACAGTTGAAACAGCTACAACGGAGCCGACTTCACTGGAATCTTATGAAACGATTTTATTATAAAACTTGCATTTGCATTTAACTCGAAATTAAATCTTTTAGTTGACGCTGACTTATACTGATCTCTTACAAAATGACGTAGTTACTTTTTTTTCTAATAAATAGACATGTGTTTATATATATTTTATTTTTTATTCTTATATTTTAATCTTATCATTATTTTTTTTTTCTGATAGAGATGTATCTTACATTTAGTTTATTTTTTATATTTACTGCGTCATTTTTATTAATTTATTTTTTATAAATACGCATATGTTTATTTGTAATTTATTTTTTATATTCACACCTTTATTTTTCTTTTTTATAAATCATGTACTTCCTCTTCTTCTGTTTTTTTTTTTTTTATTTTTTCCCTTTTGTTTTTACTTTATTTTTCTTTTCCTGTTTTGAACTTTTTTATATTAATTTTTTTATTTTTTTTTTTATATTGACTCTCTTGTTTATATATTTTTGTTTATAAATAGACATATTTTTATTTTTATTTCATATTTACTTTTACTTCTTACTATTTTTTAAATAGACAACAAGCAGATTTGTTAGAAAATTGGCCTCTTATGAGCTTATTAACTTCAAAATTATCCTCTATCTAAATAAGATCTCTTCTGTTCAAATAAAGGGTGAACGTAGCTCTTTTCAAAGTAAAAGGATTGACTTTACTAGGTAGACCTGGCCTAGCCTCATGTTTATCGACTCTTTTTAGATAGATATCAGCCTTTGTTAATCTAAATGTCTACAATAATTCATGAAAAATCGTACTTGCTTTGACTTAAGGGTATAATAAAATACAAAATATTTTACTTAAACCCCGTACATAAATATATTCTCGTTTAGAAAGCTCTCTTCACCATAAATATGTGGTATTGTCGATGGTTAAGCTAATAAGAAAATAAAACATCAATAACTGAATTGAACAGTTAGCATAAAACCAATAAAAGAGTGTACTCAACCATTCACTCAAACATCTATTCATTCATTGCAACTGCACTGAAAGATGAGAATATTAAGTAAAGATGATATGAAATGAATGAAAAGAAAAGCTAGTATTGCCCACAATGCAGCATACTTTGCGGCATAGATAATTACACACAACAACAGTAAGAGCAGTAACAATACAATGAATACAAGCAGCCACACAACAGCTTTAGCAGATACTTATAAAAGAACAAAAGGGAAAGAAAATATAATCAAATTAAAGATACTCTTGTCCATCCTTAACACGACCGTGTCCTTCTTTGCCTTGATGTTCTGCTTTACGTCTTTTTCTTTTGTTTTCCTTCGCAAACATAAATGCCGGTGATTTCTATTGATTGTTAAATTCTTTTCTTTTTTCGCATTCGCAGTTGCTTGGTTCACTTTCGATCCTGTATTAAGCGGTGGTCCTGGTTCCGGTCTTATCTTTAGCAAGAATAATGCAACAGTTTCCGTTGAAGGTTGGGAACATCGTGTTGCTTTAGGTTCAGTGGGTTTCTCACGTGGCATTCACTATTGGGAATTTACTATCGATAATTACACAGCAGACACAGATCCAGCCTTCGGTGTAGCACGCATTGATGTTAATCGCAGTAAAATGTTGGGTGAGTACTATGAAAAGAAGAAAATGAACAAGGAAAAGTAAACAACAAAAAAAAAAAAAAAATTCGCTTAAACGTAAAAAATGTTAAGATGCATTTATTTTATCTCAGCTTGTTTAACTTTAATTCTATGTTTTTTGTTTTCCTTAGAATTGATAAACTGAGGGCTTAAAATATTTACACATATACCTAGAACTCTATTGGTACACTTACTCACATATCAATAGGAAATATGTTCTACTTAGAAATTCAGACGTTTATACGCAGACCGTTCATATATATATATATACGCATATATATGTACGCATATATATATATGTATGTGAAGAAAAAAACTTTTGTTATAAGTTTCCCGTACAAGTACGTGGTTACAAACAAACATTGCTACATGCAGCTTAAATATAATATACTTAAGATATACGTTCTCCTGGCGTAGAGTCGTGCGTGAAACGAACGTGTAACACGTACCTACCGAGTCATCACGTCTAAAATGTCTTCTAGCGTACGCGTTACTTTTTATTTTTGTTTTCCCTTTAAAAGTGTTGGAAAATATTATTCCTGTACATGTGTACGTGTTGGTATTTCCAAAGTGTTCAACATTGTAAAGCTTATTGTTAACAAAAAATTGCAACTTTTTTTTTTCTAACGAGCTGCTGCTAAGTAACAAAGTTTATACGCAGTTGTGTTGGCATCAATGTCAGTTACTTAAGAATATCGCGCTACTAATATGAAACACAACAATAAAAACTTTTTACCAACTATTCCTCGATCCCTTGTGCAACTTAAAGATTGATATGAAAGTAAAGAAGTTTGCCTGTACATGCGTATGTTTATTTCTCTTTAGCATCCTCTTCGGTACGGAATCTTGTATGAAATTTTAATTTAAAAACTTGTTATAAATGCAGCATAACACGCGTCAGGTGTAAGTTGCAAAAGAACAAATGTGAATTTTATTTCTAGCTTAGGGCGAATTTAGGTTACACCACTAGCTGCTGCATCTAAAATACACTCTAAAGTATTTCATATAAAATACATTTTTTTTTTTTTTTTTCAATTGCTTAAAACAATGTCACCCGCCATTTGTTAGCATAAATATAGTAAGTAAAAAGTTTAGATTTATGAATTTACTTATTAACGATTTTGTTGATATCATCATTCAAAAAAGGATCGTCAAAAAGGCTTGAAAAATTTCATCTGCTATCCGTCCTCTCGTCTGGCCCGAACTTGCTAGTGTACACGATTATTTTAGCTAAATAATTAGACTTTGTACGAAAATTCATTAATAATAAAGTGTATAACTTAGCTTCCGCCGTGGATGGCGTTAGTGGTGACGGAAATGTACAGATGTAGTCATCGCACACTCTTGTCAACGAAATATCATCGAAACCTTGCTTAATTTGTGTTCGTTATTCTTAATTGAAGAAGCCAGTCTATCAGCAAAACTTTCATCATTTGCAGGAGGTTTTGTTTTCTACTTCAATATGAGGAAATTTTTTTGCTGAGGCTTATAGAATGCTCTGAAATACCTACGACGAGGCCCCGTATAGTGAAGGAACATTTCGTGAATAGTTATTTGAAATTGGCCGAAATAAACACAGGCGATCGGTATCGGAAAGCAACTTATATATTTAAGACGCGTCGAGGGACACGATTCTGCAGCAAAACAATGCTGCAAACTCATGTTGCAAAGTCTGTCAAAACTTATCTCTCTTTGAGATCGCTATCCCAACGAGGATATTCTAATCCTGCCGTGTTCTCCAGCCATTGAATGGCACGCGGCCTGGCCAAGCAGCACTTCCTTATAAGTAAGTCAAAATGCATCAATACGTAAATCGCCTAAAAAGATGAGCAACTTTTTCGATGTGGAATTTATACGTTGCCCAATAATATAGTAAGAAACAACCGCCAGTAATGAATAATATATTGAATAGTAAATGAATATAACAAATTTTTTTATAATAAACTCTTGAATGTTGAACAGAAAAAATAGTGGAACTAAAATCGCGCAGCTAATATTTGGCACTTCAACTAGGTTCGAATTCTAGAATTAATTACACAAATAATGTCACTGAAGTGGAGCATCATTAAACGTAATCTCAGAACAAAGAACCCAAGAGATGGATTTTTATCGCATCATGTACTGCCTAGTCCGTTTCGCCTGTTTTGTAAAATGTACTGCCCTTGAATTTTCCTTTCAATAAATTTGATGACTTTCTAAATACCTATAGAATTGAAAAAACCTTCAAAAAATGAAAAAATGTATTCTGTATATAAATCATATATGTTTTAGTTGACGAGGAAAGAGTATACTATTAGTTTGGGCGAAGAACAGAAAGCTTCTTTTTCGAACAGATTTATTGTTAGCCAGCAGACACATGCCCAACTCAGAGTGGCAGTACGCTTGCTCAAGAATAGAGGTTGGGAATTGTTGTAGCAGTATCTATATTACAACTTGGTTTGCCACGTTGATCGGGGTTGGAAGCGTTGGCATGTTCACCAAATGAACAATTATGGTCCACATTGTCGGTTCTTCTGTGAGTGAAGAGAGTTCATTAAGATTACAATCGGTTAAATATTAGGAGAACCGATTACCAGCGGAATCCAACTATGACGATGCAAGTCACGCAAGTATAAATGTGGTGCAGAAAAACTCTGAACAACAAAATTTGATCCAAGAAAACTTAAGAATGATAAACAAGCCTTATGTAGGTGAATGGAGTTCGACTGAAGAACTAATAGAAGCGGAAGGCAAGTAAGGTACTAACGGCTATCGGCAAGCAATCTATCGGGAGAGGTCACGGCGACTAAAGCCAAAGACGTGTTTTTCAAACCTATCAAAATATTTTATTTCTTATGTTTTTATTATTCTTGACATTACAATAACTTGGACTAATTCCACGTTGCGCAGAGATATACTATGTATGCAGAGTTGTAGCAAAGTAGAATAAAGAATCAAGAGAATAAATATGTACAAAAAGATAAATACATAGACATTTGTATAATATAAAGAGAGTTCTCCCCATGAATTTTCGCTCTTCATTCTATTTAATATAGATATATAGCAAATTTTAGAGGATCTCTCTGAACAGCTTACTTGGACTCTAAAAAGAGATATACTCTTGGATCAATTATGAGAATACCTATGCTTAACTTAACTTTAATTTATAATTTAGTTATAGAAAGACAATGTATAAGCTGAAGCAGGACTATTATGCAAAGACACCGGTCGAATTTTAAAATCTCAAAGTGTCGTTCTTCACCTAATGGAAGACACTTAAACTTCCTACACAAACCTTTTTGGCCTAGTTGCCTAGATGTTACCTTGCCTCGATTGTCTTATTCGCACAGTCTCGATTATATCTATATATATTATTATTAATTTAGCCAGAGAATAAATTCTAACACTTAAGTCTTAAAGCACTAGCATCTAACGGTTTCGGCTTTATTAAAACCTAGAGTTGCTAGTCGAGTTGCTACTCGGCCACGCGAGCGATCAGATATAAGTTTAAAATGGCGAATACTTCAGATCCGTAAAATAATAAATTATTACCCACTGCCGAAACGTATAATTGACTTTATTTGGAAAAGTGTATCTTGTGGTAAAACCCATTCTAAAATCTGATCGCTTAATGATTTGATATATTTGAAAATTAAGAAAAAAAAAAAAAATTAAAAGAACCTGACGTTACACACAAACTTTTACTGGCTACTATTAGACTTCTCGACAAAGTGTCGCTTTAAACGATTTTTGGTTTCCCGTTTTCTTTAATTAATTGCTCAATAGAATCTGAAACAATTCGATTGATTCGATTTCAAGTGAATGCCTTAATTGCAATCAATATTTTAATCTTGACCGAAGTGCTATTCATTTCTCGCTATTTTCTATTACCTTACCTTTGCTTTCCCCTTTACGTTTCCTGTCACTTAATAAAAACTTTTGCTTTCAAGTTTTTCAAATAAATTGAAAAAAAAAAAAATAAATAAATAAATAAAAGAAAAAAAAAAAGTTTTTCATTTTATTCTTTCTCATGGCTTTCAATTTTCTTTACTAATAGAAAACGAGGCCAATCGTTATTGGTAGCAGTTAGCTTCAAAGATTGTCAAGTGGCCAAGTTATTTCACCATTGTCACGCCTTTTGTTGCTATTTTCCCATAGACAAGTGCATTTTTAAGCCACCGAATAGAAAATCGAATAAAACAAAAGCATTATTATCTTTGTCATTCTATCGCGTTTCGTTGCAGGCTATAAAAAGTTTTTATTGTGTTTTCGTCGAGAATTTCTTTTGAACATCGAAACAAACTCAATATGAAACTGTTTTCTTTATAAATAGCTTTAGATAATAAAATTTTTCCGACCACCAACGGGAAAAACTGTAAAGAAGGAAAGCAAAGACAAAATATAAATAAGAGTTTGAATGATTAGCTGGGGAAAAGCAAAAAAAAAAACAAATTTGTTTTTTAAAACTTTTTATTGCTTTTTTATTGAAAATCCATTAACGTTAAAATTTTGTTTTATTTTATCCTTAAAAGCTTTTCGTTACTTTTTAATGGAGCGTTGGTTCTGTTCTCCCTTTTTTGACATGTCCTTGCTTTTCTTATACCTTTGCTTTTTATATTCATTCATTCGTATTATATTTGCAGGTAAAGATGAAAAATCATTTGCTATGTATATTGATCGACAGCGTTCGTGGTTCCAACATAATTCAGTGCATGAACGTCGCGTCGAAGGTGGCATTAGCACAGGCAGCACCATTGGCGTGTTGCTCGATTTGCAAAGACACACTTTAAGTTTTTTGGTTAATGGTATGCCTCAAGGCTCTGTAGCATTCCGTGATCTCTATGGTGTTTTCTATCCTGCCGTCAGTATTAACCGTGGCGTTACTCTAACATTGCATACCGCCTTAGATGCACCACAAATGGATTATTTTTAAAAACTTATTAAAAGTTTCCAAAGAAAATGACAATTTAATGAAATATTCTCTTTAAGAAAGTAAGTGTATGCGTGTGTGTGTGTGCGTGTGCGTGTGTTTATATATATATATACAATGTTACTTGATCTTCAATTACTTAACGTAAACGATTTTGTAAATTAAATTTTTTAAAATTTCAAAGAAACGAATTAAAGTGAAAAATGTTTATAGATGTGCTTATGATTGTGAAATTTTCTCTCGTCGCTTAACACATATCCCTTATAGGTAAATAAGAAAAGTTCTTTATGTAAATGAAAACTGAAAACAAACAAAAAAAGAAAAAAACTATAAATCGAAATCAATTAATCTAACGTTGAAAGTGTGCGTAATTTTTTTGAACGAAACAAAAAATTAAATCCAATAAAAAAAATCAATCAATAAATGCTTATAGGTGTAAAAAAAAAAAAAAAACAAACAAGAGCTCACAGGCCTTTAAAACACTTTAATCTGTGCAGTAAGTTTAGCTGCTTATTGGGAAGCGATGGAATCACATAGACACATTTATTAACTCACGAATTGTTTTTCTATCATTGGGCAAAAGTAGGCGGGAAATTCATTTTGTTAAAAATTACGCAACATCCAGAAGGCAGCTTTAGAAGCATTATAGAGCAAATATATTGTTGATGATGAGTATGAAATTCTGAATCGATGTAGGCATCTAAAAAATGGGCTAAACGAGTCAATGGACGCACTTATAATAAATCATACGCTGAAACGCCTTTAATGAAAATATCAAACTTCCCCGTACATTTGACCTCTCTCACCTAATATTTACTTATTTTTTTTAATATTCTAGAATATCGAAATTTCATTTGTTTGCTTTGCCCTTAAAAATAAAATTGAGCTCAATGCAATTCACCAAGAACATCCAAGAGCAGTCCTGTTCCCACTTGTCCATAAATTTTGGAACATTTTCTTTCGCTTTATATTGTTTATCGTGGGAGCAATTGAAAATTCTATCATATCACCAGACGTCAGAGATCGATTGTAATGTTTAAAGTCTTCATCTAATCCACGTAAGATTCCCAGGTGATACTTCAAATTCCCGAAAATTTACCAACAATTACGATAGAAAATGAAAGCATTGGGGTACAGATTGCCCCAATTCGTAGCCACTGATCAACTTTGAGTAAACTATAAACCGCGCCTTCCTAATCCGAGTAAAATATAAAATGACAAATTATTGAAATTTTGAAAAAATGGGAAAAATTGTAAAAAGAAAAAAAAATTAAAACACTATTAGCAAAAATCTATAAAAATCTATTCAGAATTTGAAACAAAAAATGATTAAATCTACTTAAATTATTGGTCCGCATGAGGCCTTTGCAAGGCTTATAATTATCCTAAAATTTTGACATATATATGCATTGACTTGAAGTTGAAGGTTAGTTCCAAGAAAGCCGACTTTTTCATTTGTATTACAGTAAGGCCATTAACATTGTCGAACGAGCTTACTTAGTGCGGTCTGTAGATTGAATAAAAGAAAATATGACGGGACAGACAAGCTTTAGTCGATTCAGAAAGCGATTCTACATCGATCGGTATAATAGAAGAGGAGTTTACCTCAAGCCTTTCTGGTTGTTCTCGTCATTCAATTAAATACAATTTTTAAACTTGTGTGTAAATTGCTTAAAAAATTAATTAAACAAATGACAAAAAAAAAAAAAAAGGAAATGTTTGAATTATTAGCTAAAAATGCATAGTAATTAAGTGAAAAAAAAAACAAAAAACAGAAAATTTGCAAAGCGACAAAAGCGTCATGAGTGTTTGAAAGATAAATCCAAGCACATTATTGCAATAACAAAAATTCCGTAAATTTAATTAGCAGAAGCAAAAAATAATGATAAAAATGATAATTACTGCACATATGTACATAAACATGATTAACAGTAAATATTAAAACCAATTTTAAATAAATCCCAAAAACAATACTTAAAGTATCGCAATGCATTTAATCAAATATTTAATTATTGTACCAAAAAATATATAACAAGGAAATGAATCAAAATAAAATTAAAAGTAATAAGTAACACAACAAATAGAAAAACACTTACGCTCTAAACGCTTCAATATGATCTCTGTTACCTTACTATTTACGACGAACCTTATCGCCGGGTGTGTCAATGGATCAATCGGAACAATTTTTCATCGTCTTTGGAAGTACTTTTTACGAATTTCGGAACAATGCCGTTTGTTGCGAATTACGGACATCGTGATTACGGCATTACTTCCTGACCTTTAGTTATCACCAAACACAGGTATATCAATATTTATAATACAAGGTGTTAACCGAAGTTTCTCCCATTCTTGCTTGATTTGCCATTTTGTTAGAACATGATATTCTAACGGGACTGAATGGCACTTTAGTGACTGTCATAGATTGTTATGTTGCGATCTGGTGCAGATGCTCCTGTCGCGCGTAAGAACGTTTTTTACATATAAGATTTTTGGTTCGACCGAATGATGATAAAATAATGAAAACCGAAAAAGAACTCGCTATCACTTTAATGAAGTAGGATGGTTTTCGCATGCGGGTCTTTCATTCTTAGCTTTAGAAAAAAATCCTTCATTTTGGCAAAGTTGCGAGAGTAAGTTAGAAAACGCTTTTCCCAAAATCTTCTGAGATGTCTCTATATAAATCTGTTGATTTCCTATACACGCTTACTTGATATAACTCCGCTTAAATTTTGTCGAGTTGTCCAAAGTATTTAGAAAAACCGACTCAAGCTTCTCCGCAAGAGTTCTTTCCGTAATTAAAGTATGATCCTACTGCACTGGGAGTTAAACCTAGGTATGTTTACTTGTTATGTTGCGTTGTTTATCTACCAAGCCTTGCTATAATCCACATTTCACATCTTTAATTTTTTAAAATATATTTTTTTTATCCGAAAATCGTCATCGATATTTAGATTTTAGGGCTTACATCTCCCTTTCTTGATTTAATTGCCATTTCCATTTAATAGTTCATAAGACAAGCATAGTTATTATAAATTCCCCCTTTTCTCCAGTTCCTACAAAATTTCTAATTAAATTTAAAGATAAAGCGAAATAAAAAGATAAAAAAGATAATTTGACAGAATCTCCTGCTACTATCACCGGTAAGAAGATATTTTTTAGATGCTTTTGCAGTTAAATCTCTAGCGAACCTCTTCAAATCTCTTCGATAAGAAGTAGCAGTTGTAAGCTGTTATTGTCGCCATTTCTATCATAAAGTTTTCGCTTGTTTCATCTGCCTTTCCAAACTCAAATTTAGTGTTTTCTACGTCTTTGCGACTAGTAATCTAGAGCTAAGCAGAAGCTCCTAGTTCTGGTTATAGCTCGCTAAGTGAACGAATATCTTTACGTCGTTTGACTGCCTTCCGTCTTATCAAACTTTGCGCTTCTTTGTCGTTGTCTAGATTAACTTTGAAGAGATTTAATTTTCATCCCGTCATGCTTTATTGCATGCTACTGATGTACAATTGATTATAAGCGTTCAACTTTATTCTATATAAAGATTGCACAATGTCTCTCTCTTTTGCATACTGCGGGTATTCCGCGTCTTTGCCATCGTGAACTGCACTCCCTTCTCCGACAATCTGTGGCTAGATGGTTTACCTTTAGTCTTCGAAAGCCTATTCTGCTAACCTCTTTTTACCTGATGCCGCTCTTCAATCCAAACTATTTGGATTTTATTGGCTTTAAAGAGCTGTGCAGCTGATATTGTTGTGATACCTGCCTGCCTATTTAACTACCTGTGCATTTATCTACCTACCTAACTACATCCTTGCCTAATTAATTTAGCGTTTTATATATATGGCGGGTGTTGTAGGTATGTAGGAAATTTTTGGGGCAATGCCAAAAGCGAGAGAGTGATGGAACTAGAACAAATTTAGACATGTAAAAAAAACCTGAAGGGGCTTCATTTTATTACAGTTTTTTATAGTCTGCTCACACATTGCCTTCTTTCAGTACGGAAATCGGTGGATTGGAACAGATTTGACGGATTTTCTCCTATGTGACGGCACACCTTTATATCGCAACAATGTCTGATATTTGACATATTATGACAATAACAATGACATGAGGTACATAATGGACGCTTTTAAAACTTACTAATTGATGAATGCGGGCAAATTTGAACGTTAAAAAAGTGATAAAAATGTCATGAAAAAATCCGCTACTAACAGTCGGAATAGATTAGCGTAACAACGATAATGGTGCATATACATAGTAATAACATTCATTTTAAAACGTATGCGAAACTGTAAATGTACATTAAACCGTTAAAATTGTCGTTTAACGCGAGTAAGATATAAAATAAATGTTTAACTAAACTATAAAAAATAATCTTAAAAGATTTTATTACTTAACTATAAATAAAAGAGAGAGAAAAAAAAAAAAAAACGAGATATTACCAAAAGTTCAAATTCTTAACTTTTAAAATTGAAATCGCAAATAAAACAAGGAAAACATTGAAAATAATTTTGTTTAACTTTAGTGCTCGAAACTAAATCTATAGACGTCGACAATTTTTTTGAGTAATAATGGCGGCTTTTAAATGCATCGTTAGTTTTCTTTTTTACTAAAGATTTTTTTTGTTGAATACAAGGTTTGCTGAAAATTACATAACACTATTTAATTAGTTATTGAACTATTTAATTAATTATTTAATTATCTAATTGGTATGAGAAGATGATTGTTTTTTAACGGATCTGTAGTATCGAGATCTATCGAGAATAACTTGCATAAGTCGTAAACTCTTAATAGATGACGAATTCTGAGAAGCATATGAGTTACGTAAAAGTAACTTAATTAAGCAGAGAAATACGTTTTTTTTTTTTTTTTTGCAATCAAAGCTCTGCTTCAAAAGTGAAAACTTACGTCAAGACGAGCTCTGCATATTCGGTCGATAGTATTCAGGGTATTTTTAATTCAGATCTTTCTTCTGGTTTTACTTATCATCAAATGCGTAAAGGGATGCAAAAAAACTTTTGCATCGCACATACACAAGCATACCCAAATTTTATTATATTATACGGAAAATGCGACATTGTAGCAAGCATATACGTGCCTGTTACGACGACTGGGTTTTAAGCCTTACATAGTCAATCTAAACAGGTCGTCAGCATTTACTCTCGATTAGAGGAACTCTCTACAAAGCAAATCGTCAACACAAATCCTAAACAATTGCAGTTACTGTTGAAACTATGTATAGATATCTGTCACATTGGACTTTTCTTTATTCTTTTCAAGTTAAATGAAAATATCGGCAAAGTGAGTGAATATCATTACCAGTATTATTATTAATTTAGCCAGAGAAATAAATTCAAGCATTCTAGCATCTGAGACTATCGGCTTTATTGAGAACTCTACCGCGCTTGAGATTTGAACGCACGATCATTGAGTTTTAATCAAGGGCTAATAACTGGGCCTTGGGTTGTTAGACATCCACGATTAAAAGAACGCTAACTTGCGTATGCATGTAAGTTGACCTTGCTAGGTTATGTT